CACGTGTTGCGGGTTAGTCAGACTGTATAAGATAGAACAATTTATTGAATTTTATGTTGCAAAATTCTTTGATTTCATATAGTTTCAATTTTCATTGTATCTAATAGAGATTCATGATTCATTTTAGGTCATGTCTGGATATGCTGAAAATCATCCAAAATTGGCTTTTTTTTACCGTTGAAGAGGGCAACGGTTATAATTAAAACAAAGTGGCTGCTTTTTGTGTTTGATGGTCAAAGACAAACGGTCCAAAAATCAATTTTGGTAAATTTTAATCACTTCCAGATAGGACCTTAATATTTTGGAGAACTTTTCAACAAATGTTAGGGACCAAATTGATAGACAAACAAAATGAACCATACACGTGCTTTAGGATGTTTTATGAGCCTGCGTTATGGATTTTCAAGTAAATTGGTATTAGAGTTCTCGTATAACACCAACTATCATTCATCTATCGTTACGCCTCTGTACAGTATATATGGGAGATGATGTTGTTCACCTCTATATTAGATTGAAGTTGAAAACTTCAAGTGGTAGCCCCCGAAATCGTTCGAGACATGCTCAAAGCTGAAAAAAAATAAAAAATAAATTCCAACATCAAATGTCAAATGCAAGACCAAGTGTAGGGGAAAAATCGAAAAAAAGCTATGCGATTTGGAAAGATGAGAAAATTTAGCCCCACATTTATAGGCTTTTCAAAATCTCATAAAAAATAAAACTCGTTGCCTATTGATTAGAGTTATCCAATTCGATGGGTCGAAGTGCACAACGTATTTCGAGTCTCAATGTTTTGAAAATTGTGCCCCAATCCATCTCATGCTCTAAAATTAGTTTTTAGGAGTTACACTAATAGCTTGTATGAGAATGATTAAAATTCAATTAAAATTGAAAATATAGTCGTTATTGGGTTCCACTCCTCTAATAAAAGTCAACTCCAACAGCTATATTTTCAATTTTAATCTCTCCCAAACAAGCTCTTATTAATACTAACTTCTAAAAAAGACCCCGAGCAAGACATTGTAGCTGACTTTTTTTGAATCCCCAAACATTTCGCTTCTCATTAATGTCCATTCCAAAATCAATGATGAAATTCAAAACTGATGGTGGGCAACGAGATCCATTTTCATTTAAATCATACGCACAATGTGTATCATCTCTGCAGCAGATATCAAGAGCTCATCGGTGCTGTAACAAATCTTCTCAATTTTGAGACTGAAATTTCAAGAGAATGTCACGGTTTCGATTAAGTCTTTCAATTAGATGTAATCACTCATAATTTTTCAGATTATCCATCTTATTATGTATATAATAGATAATTGATTCAAGAAACAAATTCTTCAATCCACAATTGTGTATTTGGGCCGTTTGCCATCCTGTGTACGATTTTAGAAATTGACAATAAGAAAATGTTTTCCTAATGCTACTCTGTGTCTGGGTAGCGTTAAATTCATTAAAAATATATAGATAACATTATTTTGTAATTCTGAATTTTAGGTCGCATAATATGGTGTTATATATCTCGATTGTTGCATACTTGAATATTTAGTTTGTCAACACTATAGATGCCTGTTCAAATTTCAATTACGAAAATGTATGAAGCAGTTTATTCACCCCTCATTTTCATATTTTTTGAGGAGATTGTAGATGAAGGTGAATACAAGTGAATATGAAGAGTCACAAATTTGGGAATTTTGATCTTGATTAACGTATAAGAGGAACTTGTTTGGCGGAGTAAAATCAGCCGCTAATTGATTATCCTGTTTAAGAGTTAAGTGATTTAATGTTTTCTTTTTTACTACTATATTGTAGTATTTGTGGTATAAAATTCTTGAACACGTAATTATATAATTTTTTTTAATAAAAAAATCATGTAGCTTGCATGATTTCCACGAAAAGTAATGTTATTCATTCCCAGTGGAGTTACAAATTCCCCAAATCGATATCTTGATTGTTGAACGATTATCCAATTGAATTCCCCACCAAAAGTACCAAATTCAAGAGAACTCACAATTTTCAAAAAATGGCAGAGAAATGCTGTTTTCTTTTAATGATGCTCACCATTTTCATTTCTCTACTCAAATCACTTTCACAAAAAAGTAATAATTGTCAAACTATCCCTTTTCTTGAAACCCTTTTATGACATATTTGATCAATTTTTTTTCTTTTTGCAGGTCCTAGTTATCTGGGATTTGTATCAAACGCCACTCATATTCCGGCAGAAGATTATTATAACTATATCGTGTTAGGCGGTGGCATCGCTAGCTGCCTACTGGCGGTGACACTATCGGAGAAGTATGGAGTCTTGTTCTTGAAAGAGGGGATATTTTTCCATATGGGAATCCCAATCCATTGACAAAAGAAGGATTTCTCAAAACCCTAATTGTATTTAATGGCCATGATTCTCCTGCAGAATTCTTGATCTCAGAAGACGGTGTTCCGAATACAAGAGGTCAGGTTTTTGGTGAAAGTAGTGTTAAGAAATACGGGGTTATTTTATTTTATTGATTATTAAGGGTAAAATAGTTTTTTCGATTTCATTTGTTTAGCTTATATATAGTCTCTTTATTCTTATGTTAAATTATCTTTTTGTATTCAATTGCATCATGCAGAATTAATGAAATCATTGCATACTCTTCATTTTCTTTATTTCTTTGAATTGTTTAACAAGTAGTGCGATTAGTGCCCGTTTCTACAGAGGGTTCGATCAAGAATTAACAGGGATTTCAGAATATTTATTGAATCGTATGAATGGGTTGAAAAAGTGTTGGAATTTGGTTTGTGACTTTGTATCAATTTCAGACATATATTCGGACGTGATCCGACAGTGAAATTACGAAAGTAAATAGACTAACTTGTTTTACTCGTCGAGAATAACTATTAATTTCTATGAGAACTTTGGCCCCTCTCCAATAATTCTTGATCGAACCTCCCTTTCGAATCTTCGATTGCGGGTTGAGAATTCGGTCTAGAAGAATCCGCTTTCGGAGCCTGTATCGAAATCGGAGCAGAAGTCAAAGGTGTGGAAGATGAGAAAGGAGGGTGCAAAAATGAACGCGGTGGCCTAATCCTCTCTTTAAAGAAAGTAGTGATAGTGATACTGATTATACATTCAGTACTTACACACAATAAAAAATTCAAATAGTAAGTCTTTGTTTGACATTCATTTTTTTTTTCATTCTTTCTCTTTTTTTTTTTTCTCTTTCTTCATTTTAACCACACATTATATCAATAAAATAATATTACACATAAACCCAAAAATTTTTCTTACTTTTTAACCACACATTCTTCCATCAATCAGTATTTCAAATTCTTCTCCAAAATGGATGTCAAACAAGAGCTACATGTTACTTGTGAAAAAGTGTGCCTCATGTTATTTTGAATTTATGATACTAGTCCAAGTTTGAAAATAGAAAAATCGTGACGGCCAAGTTTGATATGGCAGCTTGGCATTTAAAGTACAAAGTAATACAAAAATGTTGCTTTAAATAAAGAAATAATATGATTAATATATCGAGTTCAAGTCATTAGAATTTTAACATATATCGAGCCGCCAATTTCGAAATTTGTGGTCAATGGGTGATGACTCAAGTTCAATGTATCTTTTGAACTAATGAATTCCGACTCCTTCGCTCTAGTAAAATGTTTGAGTCATATAAAAAATTTTATTTTCATCCTTCTAATCATTTTCAATAATACATTTTTCAATAAAATAATATTCTCTATCACATTAATAAAATTTTCTTCTTTTTCAACCAAACATTCTCCATCAATCTACTATTCCAAAATACATTCTTTCAAAACAATGTGGTTCAAACACACCTTAAAGTATTTAAAATTTACTTAAAAGTTATTTTGCTAAAAAATGAGTTTATATGTGCCACATGTTTATAAATTATTTATAAATATTCAAATTATACATTTCAAGAGTCGATTATTCGTCTCTTATTTTTATTGATTTATATTTTATATTATTTATAAATACTTCCCAAGCACTTTACCTTTCAAGAATTTTGCAGTATATGTCCTCAATTTATGAAGTTTATAGTAATTACCTCTATTTCTTGGAATTGGATTATTAACCTTTTAATTTGCAACTCTTTAAGTTCTTAGTGAACAAATAATTTATAGAGAAACTTATCCCCTTCCCATTGCCCCATCTGGAGATATTATTATCCCAAACAATGGATAGGGAGAATGGGAGGGAGGGAAGCAAGGATAGATGAGGAAAGATCACTGAGGCGAGGGCGAATGCAAACAAACGAGTGGAAATCTAAGTTAAAAAAAAAAAAGATCTGACAAAGTAAGTAAAATTGAAAGTAAATTGAAATTTAGTCCATGTTTGTCAAACATTATTTTGAAAAAACAAAGTTTCGACGAGTGATTTTTTAGGAGAATGTGTGGTTAAAAAGTAATAAAAA